CAAAGAAATCGATTTTTGAAATTTCCGTGACGTCACTTCCGGTGTCTTAAACTCTAATTACTCGAAAACGTTAAAAGATAAACCCATACAAATATATATTATCTTAATCAGCGCGACAAACGGATCGATTGGTGAAAAAATTAACGTTTTTATTGACTTTCGCAATTTAGGGTCTAAAATCGCTCTCGCGTCATAACTTGAAAACGGCTGAAAATCGAATCGAGAACCCCGGGTCAAAACGAAAGCTTTTGGTTAATTCTATCTTATAACGACTTTATCTCAAAAATGTTGAGCGTAAACGGTTGCCCAAACGATGAAAAATCGGTTTATAGCTTAATTGTATTATAAATTTTATTCAAAATCAGTTTACAACTTCTTATACATAAGTGTATTATAAATTTCATTCAAATTTATTTTTGGTATAAAAAAATAGGAATCTAAAATTGTCATAAAATCACAAAATTTAAACCAGTTGCTAAGGGCAACCGTTTTTTTAAAATATGCAATAAGTTGACCGTTTAGCATGCACTTTAAAGGGGAACGGTACAAATATTAAAGTGTTAAAATATGTTAATGCATGCGTAGCAATTTCTGGTTGATGAGTTTTTACTTAACGGTCGCCTGCGTTTGAAAGGATAATAAAATTATTTTCATCTTTTGTGATTAATGAAAAGCTATATTTAGTAAAAAGTATAAGGGTTTTTGTTCAAAATAGTTCCGCTAAAGGTATTGTGAATCTAGACTGAGCGGCGGCTGTACTTAATGCCTTTTTTCTTTTTATATTTTTGTGATTAATGAAAAGCTATATTTAGTAACGAAGGATTAAAGGGTTTTTGTTCAAAAATAGTTCCGCTAGGTATTGTGAATCTAGACTGAGCGGCGACTGTACTTAATGCCTTTCCTTTCATTGACACCCGCGTGGGCTGATAAAATAGCTCCTGGTGATTGTGAAATACCGCGACTAAAAAAAGATCGGCACATGCGCAGTCTACAAGAAACCGCCTACGCTATGACAGTCATTTCCTTACTAGATGTAGGTAAGTAAACCAAGTTATATTTTACACATGTATAAATATTATTTTGAACATTATTAAAAAAACTATTTGTACTTTTTAATTTATAAATTAAAATGTTAAGCACGTATCTATTTACAAACATTTTTGTTATCTGTAATGATGGTAATTATCTCTCCGTCTAGTGCCGAGGACCTTACCTACAATGTCAGCGATTCAAGCCCTAAGATCGGGTATACGAGTCAGCTCCGTATACTTCCGGGAGATTAAAAATAGATTTCTAAAAATAGACGGATGATCACATTCTAAAAATAGAACGATGATGTCATTCTAAAAATAGAATCAAATATGGCGCCGCGCATGCGCAGTCGTGACGTTAAACCGATGCTTATACTACTGACAGGTATGAAACTTCCTACAAAGTTTCAAATTATTTGTAATCATTTTGCTCGTTTCGCGTTAGTAGCATAATAATTGTGTATTTGTTAACGTAAAATAATCCACATATAATGGGTGACTATTTTAAAGATTTGTACTTAACTATGTAATGCTTATAAGACAGGACTGTTTGGAAAAAACATGTCTATTTTTTAAGAATTAAAGATATTCGCTGTGTAAAGATAATGACGTTAACATCTTTTGTGACGTTTTTTTGCATTTTTGTATCGTTTGCATACATGTTTTGTTTACATAAGAGCAGTTCGTTTTTTCTCCATTTACTACAATGAGTTTTTACATACACCACCAAATATGTTGTCAATTTAAATACTACTGTTAAAATATTTCCTTAAAAAATTATGAAAGACATGTAGGTGTTGCCTTTGAAGTCTCGTCAATGTTTAGAAACTGGGCCTTCTAAACTTAGCAGTAATGTGTTCCAAAATTATGCAGGCGTACATTCATTTGTCACAGCTTTTTAAAAGGTAGCTGCTTACTAATTGTTGTTGTTTAATATTCTCGGAAAGGTGCGCACAACAAAGTTTTATGCATGAGATGTATGTTTATACAATTTACACGCACTAGAAATTTCAGTAAGTTTTTAAGTTTTGTTTCGTGGATTTTCATGATGTAACTTTTGAATATTTCTTTTATTTAGAATATTTCTAACTTGCTGATAAGCCCAATTACATTTTTCAGTACATTATTGTCCAACGATTCTGACTGCTTTGATAACACTGACGAACATATGCCGGCATTTGCGTCTTTTGCAAAATATGGAGTCATCGTTTTTGCTCTGATAGAACTACTTATCGAGGTTATATTTGTTTTTCTTTCAAAAAGAATTCCAATAAAATATTGATTTTAATTACTTACTCAGTGCTGTCTCAGAGTTTAACAAAATTGGTTTTTTACTTTTATCCGGGGGTCATTTATATATTATTTATATACCAGTTGTAATTACAAAACTCGTTTACAACATCTTTGTATATCTGGTCCTTTTGACAATACCGGACTTCAAATTAATCAGTGTATAAAGTGGACAGTGTACATGTACGTGTATCTCAAATTGAATTTTCTCAGTTATTTTAATCACAAATGGCATGAATCAATAAAACATTAATAGTTAGCTAATGAACTCCTCATTCTAGTGCAAAGCGTTTTAAAAACTTTGAAGATAAAACTACGGGAAATATATAGTGAAATAACTTATTGAATAATCCTCGTACAGATCTTTTACATTTTTTTCCCATTTTGTTCTTCCTAAACATGGCGTTGCAGGTATATTTATGCACATTATCTATACAATTCATTTAAAACCATACCCTAGTTTCTAATTCATACAACATATGGAAACATGTTTGCATCAAACATTGAAAATTTTCATAACAAATTTGATATCACAAATGTTAGTTAACATATCTATTTAGGTAAACAACGAAAGTTAATTTTGCCTCTAAACCAAACTGATCAGACATTTAAAGCAATGACAAATTACTGTTAAAATAGGCCCCACATAAGTATATCCTGATACAAGTTACGTTATTTTCCATCCTTAACGCAGAATGTTTGTGTTCTGTTTCGGATACTTAGTACTATATGTGTATCTTACTCATGTACTTGTTTTCTACGTGCTATTTCTGATGGTTCTTGTTTTGCCTGCGCCATTTTCGTCACTGGCACTTAATTCAAACTTATAAAGAAGACAGAAAGAAAAAACCTGAGGTTGAAATAATTACAACAGTCATTTAAACTTAAAACCTATTATATATTTTTGTGATAGAGTGAATACCCACGTAGTTTTATATTTCCTTAGAAATTATGAAAATAATGTTCACTATAATGTTTTCACAAAATGTTAAAAACTTGAGTTAATTCCTCACAATAAAAATAAATCAACATTATCCCCAATTGTATCTTTATTTAATTCAACTTGATAATTTAAATATGCTTCCAAAACATCCAAACATTTTCCAAGAAATCAGGATATCCTTTACAAAAAGCCCAACTATATACATTTTCACTTGGATTGGCTTAATGTCACTAAAATTATGCACTTATTCGCACTTTAAAAATCTATATGGGCACTATAAGGAACTGAAACTTGACTCAGTTATATAATTTAAAGAATAGCTGTCTGCAAAATGTAAACAAAATTTACGATACGGTTTGCTATTAATTTATGGACATTTTACGGTAGGACTATATCTTGGATAATAAAGAAGTCTTTTTCACACAAAACGGATACATTTGATAATTTATAAGAAAATCTGTACAGAAAATTTGCACTGTTTATAATTGTTAAGAAATCAGCCAACACTACAAAAGCAAAATAACTGTTGCTTCTTAAAATGTTGCCTACACGAACCCATGTACGAAATGTCCTTAAGCTCTAATATTTTGATTTCTATATTTCTGTTTCTAAAAGATTGTTAAATTTTTGCAGAAGTAAATTGCTTAATCTGGGCAAGTATTGAATACTTTTTACGTGTAGTTTTTAGAAAATAAAGTAAGTTCTTTAAAAATTTACATTTATCATTATTTAGCTTATACATACTTATTGTAATAAAATACTTCAAATTAATCAAGTTGTCATTCCAAATTTGATCAGACAGAAACATATATAATGTGATAGGAAAAGAAGAAAAAAATGACGCTTCTCGGGTTTAAACCATCGACTCTCATTTGCGATGCATTTGACGTATTGCATTGTATTTGTATCCATAACAATTCTCTTCAAAGTTGAGGTTATACATCATAAGAGTTCTTCCATAAGTTAGTTGTTTAATAAATTCATTATGGGTTTTGTAAGAAAATAAACATTCTGGTAAAGTAAGACGATATATATTTTTAAACAATATTCCTTGTAGATCGCTGAAATGACGCAAATGTATTCTTGCAAAGATGTGTGGAAATATTTCGTCAAATTTGAGAATGTGTTTGAATGGATAACGTGTGTTGCTGCCATCATATTTGTTGTAGATACTAATGACTGCCACGATACAGGATATAGGCCGGTATGAAACGCATAATACTAGAATAGTACAAAAAGTTAAAATCAGAAATCCTTTATAAACCTTACATTTTTTTTTGTAAAATAAGACTATGTCAGTCTATGTGACGTGTTGAGTGTTTCAGGATTGTACAAAAACGATATTGTTCAATGAAAAAATAATGATGGTTTTGTTAAATATCTATGTGGTTAAAAAGACCCGTCAACGGTAAAATATTTAAAAAATAAATAAACATAGCCTAAAGATGGTAGGAACACATTATAATAATTGTTGCATTAATTCATTCAAAACAGTCTGAAAACCTTACCGTTATATTATTTTTTTTTACATGCGTAAGTTGTAAAATATACATCTATATGAAAACAACATATCTTATATATGACTTTCTATTAAATAATATATCATTGTGTCCAGACATAATAATAATAATTATGGTTATTATAAATTGATGTCTCCATGCGCATGTATCACATTAGATATTGTGTTGCATTCAAACTAAAAATATTAATTTAAAATGTCTGATACTAAAGGAATGGCAGTGGACTTTTGGAACGATTTCGGTTTTCCTGGCCTGGATCAATATGTTGGGCATACTAAGGCAATTTGAGTGGATCGGCATATATGTAGTTCTGCTGCATCGCATAGTGACGATTTTTACCAAGTTCTTCTTCGTGTTTTCACTCCTTATTATTGCATTTGCAATCTCATTCCATTGCCTCTTCCAAAATCAGGTAAGTCTCAATTAATATTGATAGTATATTTCTAATTATTTGAGAAGTTTACTTATTATTTATTATCACTTAAACCTTTAAATGTTAACTTCCAATTTTCATCGTATAACAGTTATTTGTTACAAACTATAAAGGTACCTCGATATTTATAAACATTGAATCGATAGACATTGTAATCATTATGTAAAATTACAAACGACTATTTTGATGCATATTAATTCAAGAGGTAAACAATACCGTCGACGGTTAAGTCTAAACAATCAGTGAAATAAGTGTACACCCTTTTTTGAAAATTATGAACTTTAGCGTGTTTCTATTTTATTTTAGCCGTGGATCCACATTTTAAAATCCAAGATGGCCGCCAAAATGTACAACTTATAAGTGACAAAATAAAATTGTGTTATCCATGGCATGAGCATGAAAAAAAAGTGACATTGTAGACTTTTTTTAGCTCGACATGTATAGCAAGAGATATTTTACTCGCCAGGTGTCAGCAGCACACTTTGGTTAAAGTTTTGCATGCAAGTTTGTATCGCCAAAATTTTAATTTTTGGAACGGTTTGAAACTACGCAGATATATAATTTAGAGCATAGAATATGTCCCAGTTCAAGTCAATAACCATTTAATGGATATTGACGGAGCTGTTGTCCTTTAAAACATACAACATTCCATATTATTCAGGCGCTTTCTTCATTATCAAGCACTGAAAACAGTCAAACACCCAATGCTGTATCCTATTGCCAGCTCATGTTCATGTAAACGCATGATTCAGGGCACAATGTTAAATCCGCTGAGTGCAATGACCGCTCCCAGTTATTTTGTTATGAAAACATAACACACCCGCGCGTTAAAATTAATGCGAAACCAGTTTCTATATATAGAACTAAAAAACGAAACGCAAATCACCGACAAATTCGTATACTTTTGTGCAACAAAAACGCTTATACACATTTTTTGTGCAAACACCGAGCCCGAGCCCGTTCGACGAGGGCTTTAAAATCCTCTTGCTTCTGCAAAATGTTATTCCTCTATTGTCTTGTAAAATTAAGGTTAAAACGATTTCTTAGCTCATCTGAATCAGATGTTCAGGATCGATTACAAGTGTGGAAGGAGGATGGGAAATCTTTGGTATTCAGCCTCCTTAGTATGTCTTTCAAAACGATTTTCTCCTCTTCAAATAACAGTATGATATATCTTAAATTAATATCGTTTGTGGCATCATTGTTGCGGTCTAACTGCAGCTGTAAGTTCTTTTTTGTTATTGGTAATTCAAGCTGAATAGTTTGTGTCATGGTTAACGAGATTAAGCGTTAATTGTGATTCTGGCAAAATCTATTGAAATAAATAATCAGATAAAAATAAAACTTATAAACTTATAAAGTGAAGTAATGGCTTTTTAAGTGATCAAGTCTAATTCTACGTAATATACATTAGTCATACATTCTATCAGATTTGAAATTTGTAACTTTGTATTTGATTATTTTGATATAGTTTTTCGTCTCTAAGATTGCACTACTGACTTGTATCATGCTGAAGCTCTCCCTCGTTGACATTCCATTTCACTGTTTTTGTATTGCAGTAACGCCTTTCATGAACAATAAGTTTTTCTTTAAATTTACATGCATGTATTTATACGAGTAAATGGTTCAATAATGTTATGTGTGCAGCTAGTAAAAAGATGGAGGCTTCTTTGATATTTACGGAAAAGCAGTTGCACAAATACATATTTAAATTCATTTAAATTGATTATATAAACACAAGTTTTGTTAAAATTTGGCAAATTTCGTCGTTTTTAGCAATCGGTTTTTTTCCATGGTTTTGTATACTTTAATTACGACATTAATACAATGTACTGTATCAAAATAAAATTAGATTAACAATTAAAAAGTGTAAACTAAGAAGTTTTATCTCGCTAATTAATGCACAGGGTTCCCAGGTTTACTCGATTATGTTACGTATTAACACAATCAAGTACCCTACAACGATCAAGTAGTCCCCCTGATGTTTACATTCCACGGACATTTGTGACAGAAAACAGAAGACATACACTCAATTTTCTATTCTTTCAAGTTTTTTTTTAAATATTGCAAAACTAACCTATTTAATCTGTCACCAACCTGTTTATTTGTTTACATTGATAACACAATAACCGTCCGCATGTTTATAATATTTAGAACAGAGACATGGTAAGAAGTATTTGTTGGGATATTAAAATTTCTTCGGGTCTTAAATTCGTGGATTGACCTATCCACGAAAATTCATGCCCCACGAATAAAAATGGTGTAACTATATTCATATAAACGTTATGATGTATAAACAAATTTATGTATCATTAAGTGGTGATACATGATATTTTTTCTGTTCTGGGCAATATAATTTCGGAAGAGATTTTCAAGACAGTTTTATTAAGTACGTTTATGTACACAAATGCACACTTTGGACTGACTTTGGGCGTGATTTAAAGGCCCGCCACGAGGGGCATTTAGTTTCGAAAACTACAATACCTAAGATAATCAAATATAACATTTCCAAGTAGAGAAGACGTCTTTAGAAATTACATAAAATGTAGTAATTATAGGTGCTAAGCATGCAGCATCATTTGTTTTATAAAGATTACAGTACCAAGACCATAGACAATACATGTAACAATATAACATTGTGATACCCTACAAATATTTCTTAAATCATGGACAAAGTGGTCAGAATGTATCATGAACTAGAGTTCACTAATTTTATATGAATTCATAAAGGAATATAGTTATTTAAGTCCTCTCGTATAAAATAATTTCGATAAATTCCGATAAATTAGGTATGTGGGAAGTTTCTTTTCAGGCAACACCTACAAATCATGTGCTATGTTATGACAAAATTGACACGCCATTATTATCTAATTACTTGATCTAAGGTGAGTGATCCGGGGTCATAATTGCCCTCTTATTGAAAAAAAGAGATATGAATAATTTATGATAGTTATAATAGTCAAAAACTGTATGTAGGCCAAGCGATATCAATGAAATATCTGTTTCATTACACCAATATGAGATGGTGTGACAGTAACCTTATTTTTACGTATGTGAGAAGTTAGCAGTTAACAGTGAGCTAAGCAAAAATGCATTTCGATTTATATAGGGAAATCAATGAGCTGCTGTTATGCTCAGCTGGGTAAGCAATCTAGCAGAACATTCCAAAATAAAGTGTAGAAATGCTTTGCTGGTATGCTCAGCTGGCCAAGCAATCAAGCAGGCCATTACTAATTATAGTATAAAAATGCTCTGCTGGAATGCTCAGCTGGGTAGGCAATCTAGCGGGGCATTCCAAAATATAGCGTAAAAATGCTCTGCTGGTATGCTCAGCTGGTTAAGCAATCTAGCGGAGCATTCCAAAATATAGTGCGAAAAATGCTCTGCTGGTATGTTCAGCTGGCTAAGCAATCAAGCGGGGCATTCCAAAATATAGTGCACATAATGATCTGCTGGTATGCTCAGCTGGCTAGGCAATCTAGCAGGGCATTCCTTAATATATTGTAAAAAATACTCTGCTGTTATACTCAGCTGGCTAAGTAATCTAGCGGGGCATTCCAAAATATAATGTAAAAATGCTCTGCTGTTATGCTCAGCTGGCTAAGCAATCAAGCGGGGCATTCAAAAATATATTGTAAAAATGCTCTGCTATTATGCTCAGCTGGTTAAGCAATCTAGCAGGGCATTCCAAAATATAGTGTAAAAATGCTCTGCTGTTATGCTCAGCTGGCTAAGCAATCTAGCAGGGCATTCCAAAGTATAGTGTAAAAATGCTCTGCTGTTGTGCTCAGCTGGCTAAGCAATCTAGCGGGGCATTCCAAAATATAGTGTTAAATGCTCTGCTGTTATGCTCATCTGGCTAAGCAATCTGGCAGGGCATTCCAAAATATAGTGTAAAAATACTCTGCTTTTATGCTCAGCTGGCTAAGCAATCAAGCGGGGCATTCCAAAATATAGTGATTATCTGCTGGTATGCTCAGCTGGCTAAGCTATCTAGCAGGGAATTCCTAAATTTAGTGTAAAAAGCTTAGCTGTTATGCTCAGCTGGCTAAGCTATCTAGCGGCACATTCCAAAATATAGTGTAAAAATGCTCTGCTGAATTGCTCATCTGGCTAGGCAATCTAGAAGGGCATTCCTAAATATAGTGTTAAAAATGCTCAGCTTGCTAGGCAATCCAGCAGAGCATTCCTAAATATAGTGTAAAAATGCTCTGCTGGTAAGCTCAGCTGGCTAAGCAATCAAGCGGAGCGTTTCAAATAGTAGTGCGAAAAATGCTCTGCTGGTATGCTCAGCTGGCTAAGCAATCTAGCAGGGCATTCCTAAACATAGTGTTAAAATGCTCAGCTGGCTAGGCAATCCAGCAAAGCATTCTGAAAATTAGTGTAAAAATGTTCTGCCGGAATGCTGAGCTGTCTAGGAAAACTAGCTGTGGGGGTGTATAATAACTAGGCAAAATGCGTTGTAGTTTCCAGGTTCGACCTTTACTGATCAACAATCATATATAGTATAAACAACAATACAATGTTAAGTCGGAAGTGACGTTAACGTAAGCGCGGAACGTCACGTTATGCAAGGCGCTATAAATGACGTTATCAATTCCCGACATACTCGGGGCGCGAAATGTTATTTAAAGTTTAGTAATAAATCCATTATTTGAACACTACAGTTGCTATAGTACCTCATATAAAGTATTATTAATTAAGAAACAGTGTCATAAATATTGAATACAGTCTCTTATTCATGTATCACCTTTCCTTTGAAATTTTAGATTAATACATTTCGAGGGGGTAAAGTTTTACAATTGCGCGATTTGTGAGTCCATTTTAAGTTCGAATTTTAGCACTTCGAATAAGTCCATCTTTTCCTGGCACGAGTTCTTCAACCACAGCAAGTTTCTATAATAAGCGGGGAACATCGTCGTGGACTAATACAACGTCTCCAACGGATATCATCTGGTCATTTTTGCCAGTAGTCTGAT